TTGCAATCTGAAACTGAACCGAAGTTGATCTGAACTGAAAATTTTCAGATTAATCTGAACTGTTCAGAGCTTTAAAATGGAGAAATTAGTGTAATATTTTATATTACTGTTACAATTTTTAAATTTAAATTATTTCTAGTGATAAAAATTTTTTTTTGTGTTTTAGCTCAATGATTTTTTTTTTGCTATTTTTTTTTTAAAAAAAAATATATAAAATAAAATTTAATTAAATAATACCTATTAATTTCGATAATTTGATATCAGAATTTACTTATTTTATAAAAATTTATTGATATTATATCGAAAACTTTATCTATTATACTATCATTAGTTGCAAAAGTATCATATATAATTTTTTTTTAGAATATTTTATTTTGAAAATAAACCTGTATTATGATTTAAGGTAAATCGATAAATTGATTATTTTTTTTTTTTGTAATTTAAATATTTGATATTGAAAGAAAATCTAATATATAGAATAACTTTACTATTTATTGAGAATGTATTCAGATTTTAGGTCAGAAAGAAACTATTAAGCAAAATTTTACTAATACTAAACGAGCATGTGCAAAACATATAAAAAACTATTTTTATTAAAATGAAAAACATACTTATGAAGAAACCCTTTCTATACTTCAAAAAGCAAAAGAATATGAATCAAAAAATCAAATTGATAACAAATAAAAATTGTAAAAAAAATTAGAAATAGAAGTAGAAATAGAATCTGAATTAGAATTATTTATTCTAAAAAAAATTACATATCTAGTTTCTTTTTTAAATCATATTTTACTTAATATACAAAAATCAATAATAATTATATTTCATTTCTTTTTTGATTATATCTTTAATAGAAAGCAAAAACTTGTAGTAAAATCTAAACTATGACATATAAATTTACTATTATACTTGACTTATGAAGGTTGATTTTTAATTAAAAGTTGTATAATAAAAAGATTTAATATATTTAAGATATTTTATACATTATGTTTCTTAATTTTTTAAATAATTTTATACTTGCAATACTAGATATAAAATTATTTTGATAAATATATTAATACAACATTTTAGTTCTGAACTATTATATGATGATTTTAATATCACAATTATAATAAAATAATGTTAACTTTTTTGTCAGATATTTACTATTGAAAACAAATAAAATATTTGCTTTAAAGATGCATTTAAATACGTTTGATGAATATTCTATAGAGAATTATCATAGTATACTATATCATCATACAAATGTAAAAGTATCTACAGGTAAATCTTTAAGAAAAAATGCATTATTCTTGATTATTGTCACTATAAAATCCTTTTTATAAAACTATTTGCTAACACAAGATTATTCTTATTGATTATTGTTACTATAAAATCCTTTTTGTAAAACTATTTGCTAACACAAGATTACTCTTATATTAAATAAGATCTTGATAATTTGGTAAAACTAATAGCTATTTTTCACTTGAATTATTTTAATAATTTGTGAAAAAATCCTGAATATACAGAATTAAAAAAAAAAAAGAAGGAAAAAATTAAAAAGGATTTTTTATTACTTTTCTGATATTAATCACAATTTTATCAAAGGTTTTACCATTAAGATATTATCTAAAACAATGACTATCAGCTAATAAATTATCATTTAGAATGCATAAATTTGTTATGAAGTAATGATATAGTGTTAATTTGTGAACACAAGTATCATAAAGCATGTTTTTGAGATTTGAGCTTTAAATATTAATATTATTTTACATACCTTTTTGATTCAATTGATAAATTATCACAATTTTATAATCAAAGATTACAAATGGATGAAGATATTAGAAAATGAGTAGATTCTAAAATTGAAGATTAAGGTAAAAATGATGAATTAGAAAATAATGGAAACTAAAATATAAAAAAAGAAATTGAAATTAATATAACACTAAAGAAAAGAATATTTGGTATGTTTAATTTATCTGTATTAAATTACAATTTGAAATCACTATTACTTATAATATCAATAAAATTTATTGAAAATATCCATAGTAAAAAATAGAACGGCATAATTTTTTTCGTTAAAAGAACTGTGTTACAATAAATTTATTGGTTAATGGCCTAATTTATCACGTATAATAAGCAATTTCAGGCTATTATCCTAGACCTATCACGTGATAATATTTTAAAAAAATTTATTTATACATGGGGTTTAGGATAATAACCTAAACCCGGAGTCTAGGATAATAACCTAAACCCGGAGTCTAGGATAAATTTGCCCTTTCGCAATTAAATATAATTGGTTAATTAATGTAGATCATCACGTGAAATCAAACCAATAAATGGATTTTTAACAATGCTCATAATCAGATTTACGCGTCAATTTTCTCAAAAATTTTATTCCACTCACATTTGTGTTGCAAGCTTGCTCTAATAAAAAAAAAAAAGCTCCACAGAAAACAAACATGTCCACAACTAGTACTAAAGTGGTAAGAAAGTTGAATACGGATTATGCATTTTTTTGTGATCCACCAATAAACCCGTTGTTCTCTTGTTAAAAACAGACACATGAATATTTTGGACGAAGAACGTCGGAATGGTGTATTACTGGATTCCTTGGTGAGTGCAATGTCGAACCGTTTAGACAAAAGATAAATTGCTACCTTTCCTCCCTTGAGAATATCGCCAATATAGAAGAAGGTCGAAGACAAAAAAAAGCACAGCAATTACTTAATAATTACAGGCAGGCGAGTATTTAATTTTTGTGTAAAAGGATTGTAGAAAAATAAGTGGCATGAGGACCCTTCGAGCTCC